ACTCCGTAGTTGTCGAACCTTTACTCTGAACTCACACCCACAACCTTTCCGCTTTGTATCAAACCGAGTGGCTGTACGAAAATCTCTTTCTTCTCTTTTGCGATAACGGTCACATCTCAAAATGCGATCCATTCTACCATCCCGTTGAGATTTATGAGTTACTACTACCAAGCAAAATCCAGCTGCAATTGCAACCTGTTTTGCCCAATCAATCGCCTGTTGAGCTTCTTCAAATGGACCATCATGTCCAAATATCCCACTGTAATCATTTCCGTCTCCACCATATTCCTGCATCAATTATATATTACAATAAATACATTTAACGGATAATACATTTAATTTCTATATTTACACAGAATTAACACAAAAAAAAGCATAATTATATATAATCAAACTTAATTTTTATAAAAACCCAATTCGAATTTTCAAACTAAATTTAAAAATATACCATTTCGAATTTTCAAATTTAATTTTAAAAAAACCTATTTCGAATTTTCAAATTTAATTTAAAAAAAAACCCATTTCGATTTTTTTTAAAAAATCATTTTCGATTTTTTTTTTTAAAAAAAAATTAAATAAAAAACAACAACAAAATCAAAAAAGAAAAAAAAAAATTTAATTTATAAGGGTGGCGTCTGCCAGGGCTGCCACAGCCACTGGACTGGCGCCTGGCAGGGCCGCCTCACCCAGTGGAGTGGCGCCTGGCCAGGACGCCAGTCTGGTGGTCTAGGCGTCTGGGCTGGACGCCACTCTGGTGGTTCTGGCGTCTGGCTTGGACGTCCAGGCTACGGTTTGGGCGTCCATCCTAGGCGCCGGAGCCACTCCGACGGTAAACCATGAATTTTAACGTTGACTTACCTCGTTTTCCGTCGACGACGACGTACCTCCGGCGTCCCCCGCATCTCCGGCCTGCCCTCCGGTCTCCCCCGGCGAGTCAGTACGGCTCCACATTTTTTACACCGAGATTATTTCAATTTTAGAAAATGGGCATAATGGTCAAACCATATCATATTTGTGGGCTTTATATGGTAAATTGCGGGCGATGTTTAGCGTTTCACTTAAACATACCCTAATGACTTCATATTTTTCATCACATATCATGTAAACCATATAATAAATTAAAAGACAATCAAGGAGAATGAATGTTAATTAAAATTAATGAAAGGAGCTGAGTATTAATAAAACAACAATATTAAAACAATAATACATGGAAGATCAAGACAAGGAATAAAAGAAGATTGAAGATCCCGCCACCTCCAATTATGTAGAAGAATTGTTTTTGATGTGATAGAAATTAAATGAGTCGAATTTACAGAAAAGAAGGTAATTATATTTGTTTGGATTTTAATAATCACAATATAAACATTTGTATAGTGTTTTAATATTTGTGAAATCGAGATATAGAGGGGACTCACGTAATCATGAGATTAAGAGTGTGTTTGGATGAAGGAAAAGAAGGGAAGGAAAATGGAGGGAGGGAGTATCTTCCATTTGGATAGCAAATTAGGGATAAAAGGAATTGGAGGGGAGAGAAATGGAGGGATTAAATTCTTAAAAAATGATCACTCCAACAATAGAGAGATTTGGAAGGAAAACTCTCCATTCTTCCTTTTCCTTCCCTCCCCTTCACCTCCCTCCCTTCTTTTCCTTCCCTTACCTTTACCCAAACAAGCTGTAAGTAGAGAAACATTAGTTAGATAATGGAAAAGTGAATTTACTATTATCTTCAAACTTTTTAATAAGAAAAACGTTGTTATTACACCGTTACTATTTTGGTTCTCATAATTTGACTTTTACGTTTTCGATTTACAAGCTCAACTATTTTGTCATGAGACGAATCTAAACAAAATCTAAATGACTATATTTTCATATTTTTCATCACATATTAGGTAAACCATACAGTAAAAGACAATCAAGGAGAAGAAATGTAAATTGAAATAATGAAATTAAAGGAGTATTAATAATACTGTAATATCTTGTTAAAATATATATATATATATATATATATATATATATATATATATATATATATATATATATATATATGGAATATCAAGACAAAGAATAAAAGAAGAAGATCCGTTCACCTCCAATTATGCAGAAGAATTGTTGTTGATGTGATGAAATTTAAGTGATTTGTCGCAAGGTTGATGTGGGGCCATGTCTCAATTTATTCATCCATTTGGCCAAGTGTGAATTGAATTATGGAAGGACTCATACATAATTGATTAAATTAATTATGAGAGGACGAAGTAGTAAGATTTGAATAAACTACGGAATACAATACTACTTTTATTACGTAGACAAGACGTAGTATTGTACACTTGTAGTAACTAGTGGAGTAAGATTCAATTTTATTTTTGATATAAGAAGTAATATGCTAATTAATCGAATGATATTATTTATAATGAAATAGACGGTCTAGCTATACAATCTTTTAGGATATGGAAGCAAGTATACAATATTACATTGGTAAATTAACCAATTAATTATTCAATGGAAGTAGTACTCGTTGTAACAAACAAGGTTAGACAGGCGATGACACATTCTACAAACGCATATAATACAATAAATGATTTTCTAATAAATAAATTAAGATGATTTATATGGGCACACATTTCATTATTTGGCAACTAATTAGCTGTTTTAATTTGAAGCTAACTTGCATAAAAAAAATGAATTTTGACACTTCCCAATTGTCATTCAAACATTAAATTACAGAGAGAGTTGCGTTTGAATGCCATTTCGTTACTTAATTTGGAAAGTAGTTGGAAACTTGGAACCCATCTCCATTTGCTATGAAAACGGAGTGTTGTATAAATTTGTACTCAGTTATATAGATATTCAAAAGATAGAGTAATGATTAGTACATCTATTATCATTCAACAAATCCGCCTTTGATTTTTTTTTTTTTTTCTTATCACTTAAGATTTTAGGTGTAACGAACTCTCTACGGGATAAATATCATCTTATTTACTTTCCTAAAATATAGATATTATCCCCTTACGTGATATAAATCAAGTAACAAATACTTGCTTGAGATAGTATAGACTTTGAAGACCACTTAATCTCCAACAATTATCAAAGCTAATGTAGCGACTCATATTATGTCCCATTTTTAACCAACAGACTAGACCAGGCCACAAGAGTATGGGTTACCGAATGCTACTTAGAATGTAATTGCGACAATTTTTGTCTTACTTTTAATGAAATCTAATGCCTCTTAGACTTATTACAAAAAAAAAAAATATACTCTATATTGTCATAATATTTTTGGTTTTGTTCGTTCTTGGATGATTTGGAATGTATAACGGATAAGCTCTTTGGATTCAGTCGATACAAATGAGTTGTATACTTGTAATTAAGTTGTTTTCATTTCTTCTAGATAATATGGACGCATCAATATCATGTGGTCCACTAATAATCCTAAAATCTTGAAGATAAAATACCAATACTAATTCCACACGTGTGTGGCTTAATTATTAAATTTTTCTAATTATGCTTAATTATATGATTATTATGTATGTTGTTTCTATCATATTTCTTGTTTGATTTTGACACTCATAATTGACTATTAACTACTACTTCTATAACTCTACATGTTTTCATGTGTGAAGTATTTAGGAAAAGTCTAAATGTTAATTTATGTTATTATTCCGTATTTAAATTTAATTTTGCTATATTTACCTTGATCGGGTTGGCATATTTATCAAGCCAAAAAAGACTTTGTCATGACAACTTTTTATGTTGCCAAAATGTCAAAGCAAATACTTTCTCCGTTACTATATAATTGTACAATAATAAAGAACGAAGAAATAGAATGTTTAAAAGGCAATACGCTAATACTGCCCTCATAGGAATGAGGTCATGAAATGAAAAAATGAGGGACAATAGTTTATTTATTGTCATACATAATATACGTAAAGACTTACCTAATACGTAAATGATGCAATTACTATGACACTTTCATGAAAGGAATAATGAAGCAATTATATTGGAAAGGATGAAGTATAAAAGAGCGACACAATTTCGACAAACAATACACTGGAAAATCTTTACCACAGAAAATACAAAATAAAAATGAAATGATTTATAAGGCTAATCATTGGAGGAACTTAGGGGTTGAGCCATCGAGTGTCTTGACTCAATCCATATATTATACTCCATCTGTTTACTAATTTTCTTATTTCATAATACATTATCATTGTGGAATGAATTAACTGTCGTATTTTAAATGGTCATAGATGATTGAAAGACAAATATAAATCATTTATTGATGGAGTGAAAAGGCATAATGTTGAAGATAGAAGGCCATGACATGAAATCATGAAGATCAAGTGACCAACAACTATGCTTTCTTTTCAAAATCATGTGAGATGTTAACTTCTTGCCATACGTGTTATAATTTCATATACCAATTTACTAATCAAGCTTATCATGAGAATTATGTCACATGAAAGTTTTACACAAAGTTTCAATTTTTATTTTTATTTGGAATTTTAGATATTAATTTCACAGTTTTAATGGTAATTGCCTGAAAAAAAACGTGGTGCATCCCATCAAAAAAAAAAATGGTGCATGACTCGTATGGGCTGGGCCTTAAGGACTTTCGTATGGGCTGGGCCTTAAGGCTTTCCTTAATGATTGTTTTTGACTAATCATTCAACGCATTATGTTACCAAATAATAAGACCATACTTATGTAAAGTACGAATAATAATCAATTTAAGTGATGAAGGCATTTACTATTCTAGCATGGAAAGTTCAAACAGTAAGTAAAGCTACTGGATTCCAAATGAGCATCCTTCATTTCTATTTAGTCACTTCAAGTTCAAATGAGTATCAACGAATTTTAAGAAATAAACATAGATATGATTGAGTTATAAATGAATTGAAAATTAAAAGATAAGTAACAGGAACAGTAACAATTGAGGCCAAACACATACATAAGTACGCGTGCACACTCTCTTTCCAACAATCTCGGGAGATAATTTCAACAAATACAACAATAAGTAATACGAGTATATTATTATTAACAATCACATAAAATTACACAAAACAATTGTTCCATACACACGACTTTAACAATTAACATTTAGATCCGTGAAATAAAACTTGCCAACAAAATGAGTCTTCCGAAATAACCAAGAGACAACACAACAAATCTTCTTCTTTCCCTTTCAAAAAAACTACTCTCCTTTCTCACAAACCTCCTAGATATATATATATATATATATATTTCCCTCCGAGAGTGAACAATACACATTCCACAAATAAAAGAATTTGCAACCTAATTACCCTCCTAATAATAGCGTAGCGTATATTATATGGGATTTTAAGCATATTAAGGAACTGAATATCCTACACATTGGCAAAGGTACTAAACTCTAAATGGAAAATTAAGCACCTTAATCAACTGCTTCTAAATACAAGGGCTAGCAATATACAAAGGAAGAGGGATTTACAAAATCGCAGACGTTTTTTACAAACAAAATTGGTCCTGAAAATATGATGAAGCTCCTTCCACTGCACGCGCCAAACCTTGCACCAAAACTGGTTGCAGTTCTTCTTTGATCCTTCCCATACTGTATATATTTATGTAATGGTAAATTTTTTTTGTTCTTTTTTCTTTTTTTGGCTGATCATATTTATGTAATGTTAGAATATACTTTTTCTAGTTTGTGGTTAGTCTAGAGTGAGCTCGACTTCCAAGTCACAAGTGCCTTAAGAAATTCCATAACCTGCACAAAATATCAAGAATATAAGATTACTGTTCTGAAACCGATCCCTGAGATTGGATCAGTCTGAAATCAGGTGTTAAAACTAAAGTCCGATCCCTACGAGTAATTTATCATTGCTTCAACTTAAAAGGAGCTCCTACAGGATTAGGTAAAATACCTCTGATGGGTTCTTTAGGGAGTAGAATGCATTACTTTCTTTGGGAATAGAAGACACCAAAATACCATATCCTCTATTTTCTTCTCTCAGGAACTGCACTCGAAAATGTTTTATGGATTCAGTAGATGTTTACTAGATCAAACAGCTCATATACCATTTAATTTAAGCGCAGAATTACCTTAAAAGCATCCTCATCAGTGCTATCATCACCGACATATACTGGAAGCACATCATCAGAGTCACTTAGCCCTGCAACATGTTTCCAAAATCAGGTTATAAAACAGCAGAGATTGTCCTGTACAAGTATACGATCCTATTTTCTTTGTATTAAAAAATCAGAAAATAATCAGAGCAAGATACTCACCAAGGGACTCTAGCAAAAATTCAACAGCCTTTCCCTTGTTCCAATCAATCACTGGACGGATCTCTAAAACCTTCCGCCCATGACAAAGTTTAAGACGTGGGTATTCTTTTAGTATAGCATGGACACGAAGAGCAACAGTCTTCCAATTCTGTAACGTTTAATTGTAACACAATCAGCACTAGTACACAAACAATAAGCCAAGGAACACAAGTGCTTTTCACTAAGAGAAAACCGTTTTACCTTTTCTTCTACATTGCGATAGTGAACAGAAACACAAAACTTGTTGTCCTCAACCGTTACACCCTTAATTTTCTTAGTAGTCTCAATAAGGGATGTATAAACCTGCTTAGAATATAGAAGATATTAAAAAAACCATGATTATTTAAAATCTTAAATAAAGACCAACTTTAACATAATTTAAAGATAGCAATATTACATATTAACTAAGAATGAAGGTAGCATTACCTCCTCAATCATAGGCAAAAATTCACTAGCAGGCTGGAAAAGGACAGCTTCCTTACCCTATAGAAATCAAGAAACAAAGTAAAATGATTAGTCAGCTACATTTTCGCCCAGTGATCTTTCTTCCCCGAGTAATATTTGACAAGGTTTACAAAGTATATAATACCTGCTTGTCAGTTAATTTGACACAATTAGGGTGCCCATTAAAGGCAGCAGAGCCTTTCACAGGGCTCATAATGTCCATCCCGTGACTACCGGCATAAAATAGTTCAGTCAATCCAACAAATTCATAAACCTGCATGAACAATAGAAGGTTAAGAACACTTTCACTGTCAAGTTAATTGAGCAAGATACATGGACAAGTGAAAAAAATATACCTTATCACGACTTCTGCCACTGATAATTGCTGTTGGAAATAGTTTAGCAACATCTTTTACAGCAGAACGCATCTACGGAAATATCATAGCCAGTCAATTGAAGGGCTAACAAAAGAAAATAAAGACAAAAATCTAAATTGTCCAAATCCAGATAGTTAGAGCAATTAATACTTACATCATCAGACATGAAAGCCATAGCAGGATTATCTACAATGGGTGACAGGGTTCCATCATAGTCCAAAAACAATGCAAGCCTCTTGCCCTTGGCAAAATGTGTGATTTGGTCAAATGATGTGATTGCTGATGGATAATTAAGCTGCAAAGTGAAAGAAAAATCAATACGTAGTAATCTTGGACTTGTTATATACCGGAAACCAAGAGATCAAACAAGAGAAAGATCTACTTACTGTCCATGCACAATAAGCAATGTCAACATCTGATGAATCTTGTTCAGGGTTAGCATCATAAGGAAATTTCTTAGGTGGAGGAGATGAAGATTTCATAGCATCCAGCCAAGCTGCAGCTCGGACATCATCTAAAACACCGGTTTTCTTCCTTGGGATTGACAAGAGCATTCCATTAGCAAAGAGAGCTCGTTGTGGTTGAGGTGAGTAAGGCATAAGACTAGAATGCAAACTTAATCTAGACTTTTTGATAGGTGCAGGGTCAGCGAGAACAGGAGTTTTAAGGTCCATAGGATCCAGTTTCGTAGCAGAAGTCACTGTGTTATAGAAACTATAAACAATACTTCAATGAGCTAGGCTTCAAATCTCAAGAAGAGAAATGGCTAGGAATCACGACCAAATTGTGCGATAACAAACAAGCACTTTATCCAACTGTTTTGTCAATGAAAAACCACTTCTTCAAAGTTTTCTTGTCACTGTTTGGGGGGAAGCAGTCCATCAAGCATAGAAATCCAGGGAACTGGTTATTTTGTAATCTAGTTAGCAAATTTAGAGAATAAATTGATACAAATCAAACAAAGCTCAATGAAATATAGTAGCAGTCGGTCCTTGGTCACATACCTTCTCATTTCAAAAAAATCCTTGTAAGCTCAATGAAATGTGACCTCGTTTGTAATATAGCTTTTCAAAATACCTACACAAAAGAAGATCAAAACAAAAAGCAACACTATATTACTAATTAGCTCAAGAACAAACACCTTGCTGCTTTGAACTCAAGCATCCAATCATGATTGACGACTTATCAATAATCACAACAAATGAATATATATAGAAACATCAAAGGCCAGAATCAGGCAATCTATGAGACAAGAACATGTGAGAACACGAGGCAACGAGAATCAGGATTCTAAGGAAAAGACTAGTTGCCTCAGCAAATACCACTTAATACAAGCTAAATGAAATAAAGAGACAATGAAAAGCGAAATTCTTACATAGTATAGTCATTGAAATGGAATCAAAGACCACACCATTAAGGACTTTGCAATGGAAAATATGCCCTGAATTCCTAAAACCTTTATAGTTTATTTTTAACGGCTGCTTTGACTGCAGTCAATTCAAACATACAGTTAAAAGTATAACAATCTTCAACCTTAGCGTGGTCCAACTAGCATTCCCACATACAGTTAAAATCATGATGAATATCCCCAAAAATACACATTTCCCTTAATGACAACTAATCAATAATTCTCATCAATTAACAAGGATTTGTTAATTCTATCTGTCACCCAATAACAATAATGATTGTTCATCACTTTTATAACCAAACCATGCCAACTTGATTTCAATCAAATATTAACAGTAAACAGGAATAAACTATTCTAAACACAGTTTAAAGGAGCGTTTGTCTAATCTCGGAGATTGATTTATCATTCCTCGAACTCAAACAACGAAACAAGTAACAACTAGCTATACAAGCCTAATGCTTCCAAACAAACATGACCCAAAAAAATCGATGTCAAACGGGGCAGACTTCAATTATCAACACACCCACATTAGGTATACATTAATATGACCTACCAAATTGAATCATGACTGTACATCAAAGATGCAAAATTTGGGAAGATTCATTCACACCACATAATCACATATACACCCCTTAAGGATTTTAGGAGGAGAAAAGGAAAGGGTGTCATAATAGTGTATTAGTGTAGGTCATTCTTTCGTTCATGTGAAAGATCAATGACCTTTGGGAAAAAATTTGGCTACCAATTAAGGGCAGGGGAAAGGGGTCCTACAAACTAAAACCAATTATATAAAAACAAAAACCCTTAACATACAACAATCCCACAAACTGACCTAAGGTACCCTTAGAGCTGAGATCGAATCTCGTCTACACGATGGATAATTTCGTGACACCGCGTGCACCAAAATTTTAAAAACAACAAGATACCAATTGTCTTTAGAATGAAGAAATAGTTCATCCATGTCACTATCATAGGTTTTTCCTTCGCAATTCTAAACAAGTGGTCTAAAATGAGAGAAATTAAAAGGGAAAAAAATCGAGAACAAAAACAAACATAAAAAGTTGGCATCAAATGAAACCAAGAAACAGACATTAAGTGGGCCTTGTTCTAATACGGCCGTTTTGCCTTGTTTTTAGTCTCAATATTTCGACAAAAAAGACCCAATCTTTACATAGGTGAACCCCATTTGTGCATCTGTTGTCATTTTCTTTCTATGTACCTTGTTTTCATTCTCTTCTGAAAAAAATATGAAATTAACTTCAACAAACCTTAAATTATAAAAAAAAAAAAAATACCTCCAAAAATGTACATAATTTCACACCCATACTATGAAATTCAAGCTTAAAAAACCCCATTTTTTCATACAATCAAGCAATAAAACAGAGAAACAACAACTACAAAGAACAAAAAAACCCATCAAAAATTCTTGAACAAAAATCAAAAATTTGGAGAAATCATAAATACCCATATCAAAAATCAAAGAACCCATTAAAAATTTCATCAGATATAACAATGCAAGAAAAATCAAAATACAGAGAAATAGAAGGACAAACCTTGGAAAATTCTTGGTAGGAAGAAAAATGAGAGCAATGTAGACAATAAATGGAAGAAATTAATAGTCAAAGGGGTTTGAAAAATTGCAGGAAAAGAAATAGAGAAAGAACCCTAGAGAGACAAACACAGAGAACGAGAAGAAAGCAGGAGCAGAGAAAATACAGAGGAGACGTACAGAGGAGAGAGAAAAATAGGAGAGAGAAAGAGAGAAGAAAAAAAGAAGGAAAATCCTAATTTGGGAATGGGTTTTTATAAGAGTTTTTGGGAGGTTGTGAAGTCGTGGTCACCAAGTCAATTACTTGGAAATTTTCTAATTTATTACTCACGTCCTTCCCTATATTTTTGCCCATTGTCATATTTTGGTCAAACTTTAAAAACTTTGATCATAATTTACAGTTAATTTTTAAAAGATAATATAGTCATAAGTGGTCTGGTTAGATTCGGCTCATTATATATTTTATTAATATCATATTTTTATATTTTTACGTATATAGAAATAAAGATATAGACGTTTTAAAATGCGTTTTGGAGACCGCGTACAGTTAAATAGGGCAAAAAAATTAGGAACAGAGGAAGTAATTAATAATATAGTTTTCATGGGAAAATATATACAAATAAATAAATACTAACTACCATTAGTAACCCACCTACCATTGTCACCAACTGAAATACGGAGTTTATAATGTTTGTTTGTATTTTAATTTGATGTGATACACGTTTTTATTTATTTAGGGTTATATAAGTTATACGCTACTTGATTATAAATACATTGTATATGTGCACTCTTTTTTTGTATAGGTTTAATTTAATACGGAGTGTTGTGTATCATTTTGGACTAGTTGATGGCTATGGTTTGTTTGTTAGAAAGATCTATTTTAACGCGATTATGTTAATGGTAGTATGTTAGGAGCTATGAAAGTTGTTAGGTGAGCTTAGATTGCATGTCATGGTCTTGAATTCTTGATGTTGACTTGATCATGCTTAGGTGCTTGGCTAGTTGGCTACAATACAAATTCAAGTACACTATACGTAATACGTATACTCTTTTTTAAAGGTCTAGTTTAATGCTAATTACTACGTATTTTTTGTCAGAACAGGATTGATCATATACGTACTAATACTAATTATAACAAGGGGCGTGTTTTGTTCGGCTTAAGAAAATAATCAGAATGAATTGAATTTAATCAATCAAGTGTACTGTAAATACGAGGCGAAATCAGACCTAATGAATTAAATTGATGTTGCAAACACACACACTAAGCTAGTCATAACGTGTGAAATGGAAGGTTAGAGCAGACGAGCAGTTGACCACTAGCAGACTCCCACAACGAGGCTAGGGTCGAACGAATTGAATCTCACGAAGCTTGATCATACTCATATTAATTGAAGTTATTGTGTCATCTTCTCCAACTTTTGTCGTATGGTTGAAGAGTTTGTAATGGGAGACAACCTTGTGGACTTGTGGTGGCATTGTTTTAGGGAATAACACAGGCAGCAAATAAATGTAAATTGGCTCCAATAAGGGGGTGGAACATTAAGTATCATAAAAATATTGTTCTTCGTGAGATACTTCTGAAGCGCAGAAGGATCTTATGTTGGTGTCACCTTGTCACCATTTATTTCTTGTCATATTTTCTGTTTTTGCTTCGAGGGTCACTCTTCATTTTTTATTATTTTAATGGTAAAAAAGACCCTGATCAGATCAACCCTCACGGTTTTTTTGTCCTGTATATATGGGTCGGACCCTTGAAAGTAAAGGGGAGGATTTGAGGGTTTCTCTTCATTTTTACAAACATATTTACATGTTACTCGGAAGTTGGAACATATACACATATACTTCCTCAATTCTCTAATACAAAGTAATTTTTATAGTTTATTTTATTTAATAATACAAAGTAATTTTTATAGTAATTATTTTATTTTTTATTTTAGTTTTGTAGTAGATTATTTATTTATTTTTAAATTACCTAATCGTCTCGCTTTCCATTACCATAAAGTTATGCTCTTAAACAAGAGTATATGACTAATTGACTAGCTTAGCAAATCTATTACATGTTCATATTAGTATTTGTAGTCGTGTTTCACTTTGAATATGACAACTAACTAACATTGCGTATGAAAAATCAAACAAGAAAGCTTTTATAACCTTCAAGATGTTAAAAATGTATTAGTACAAATTTGGAATATTCGATCCAAACAAGCATAATATGTATATATGAGGCAATTTGCATAACATTCATGCAAAAAAGTATTCGCATGTCACAATTTCTATTTTCTTTTCTTAACTCCCTCAACTCTAAAACTTAAGGAATTTGGTTACAGAGTATAAAGTCTAAACAAGGGCTTATAATTCAAAAAAAATAAAAAAGAAAAGAAAAAAAAAGGGGGGGCTTATAATAAAATAAGTTCACATAAAATTAGATGAAACAAGCCTAAATTTCTACCATGAAATAGTATGTGTATTTCCTTTTTTCCTATAATCTGTTAACTTTTCATGTAAATGAAAAATATTTTAAAATCCATTTGTAATTCATTGACAAAATACTATGAATGTTGGATGTATTGATCTACGGAGTAACAATGTTTTTAGACTAACTACTAACGTATAATTTTGTTATTGATTATGCAACGGTGTATAATTCATGGTATTTAATTTATAATATACGGAGTACAAGCATTTTAAAATTACTGGTACATAACAATAGTATTTCACCACTTGTATCAATTTTCGTACGGATTACGTAGTAACCATTAACTACCTCTAAAAATAAAGAAAATACACTAACTACCAACAAAACCGAAAGAGAAACCGTTGAAACGGGCTTTGGTCCCACCAAAAACGGAGAAAACGACAGACACGTGTCGCGATGGCTGAGGCACGTAATGACACGTGTGACCATGTCAAACTGACGTGTCCACGTTGGAATAGTGGGGCCATACACGTCCCTTTCTTTGACAGCTGTTGATTGGATCAACGTCGGTGACAGTTGAGTAGAATCTATTCGACGGCTTAGATTTAGCCACGTGTCCGAATCACACCCCTTAATCAAACGTGGGAAAATGTGGGACCCACAAAAAGGAGAAAGGTTTTCCGGGAAAAAGTGGGACCCAGAGTCTGAGCTGGCTACACGACTGTTTGTTTTTACATGGTCAAAACTGGAGGTTGACAAGACAATGTATTACAGTATTAGCCTTTTTAATACTCCTTTTTTTACTCTCTAAGTTTTCTTTAATCGGTCAATTTTATAAGTTTTTTTTTTTTTTTTATTTATTATTATTTATATTTATTTTTTTTATTTTTTTTAAGGTAAGGAAAAGGATCCTAATCATATTTCAATCATTATGGTTTCTTGGTCCAGTATTTGCTGATGAGACCCTTTAAAAGTGAAGAAAAAGGGTAAGAGAGGGGATCTACATCCTCAAAGTGTCTTGAGTAGGATTAAACTCTTAATCTCAAAATTGGAATATACTCCGTACAATCTTTCCGACAAGATCAAACTTAGGTCAGTAAGTATACCAAGTATTTCTTAAATGGGTTTGTGTTTGTAACGGAGTACAATATTCATAGAGGACATGTTCCTCACTCCTCAAGTCCTCATTGCTGTACCTCATAAGTTAAGAAAATTAGATGCATAAGAGTATTTTTTGTTCATTTAATATTTTTTGTTGTGTAAGTACTATCCTTAAGTAGTTGGGTGCACATACTCTATATACCCGTGTGTAAATAAAAATTGTTGTGTAAGTGTTAAAATAGAAGTGTTGATTATATGATTATTACTCCCTCCATGTTTAAATAAATGAAACATTTTTACTTTTACGATCGTGTTTAAATAAATGAAACGTTTTTTTTTTCTTTTAGTAATTTCTCTCTACTTTTTAATAATATTCTACTAATAATGGTCCCTACAAAATCCTTTACTTTCTTCACTCCTCAAATCTATGCCCCACTACCTACTCTGTATTATTTTACTAAATTCAACTAACATTTGTAAAAGTTAAAACGTTTAATTTATTTAAACACGGAAGGAATATTTCTGTTAATTGAATATCTATTTATAGCACTTGTAACTTGTAAGTGTTGTAAGTCTGTAACGACTTCTGAAAATTTCTTTCGAATCAGATTAAGTCTTGATAAGGAAATTTTCGATACAGATCAATTTTGAATCATCTAATTTTAAGTACAATTAGTCATTTTTGGCTTTTCCAAAAATGAAAAATTTCCTGACCTATGAAAAATTTCCTGACCTCAAAAAAAAAAAAAAAAGGAAAACTAACACAGGAAAGTTCCGTGAAAGCCAACAATTGAAGACTAACAACTGGTCAACATAATAGAATGAACATAGTCAGGAAATTAGATTTGTTCAACACTGAATGTCTTTTTATTTTTATTTTTTTTATTAAGGATGTATTACCATATTGGTAACTCCACCACCCCACCGCTAATTTTTTTTTTTTTCCTTTTCTTTTCCTTTTAAACGAAATAATTAATGGTAATTTAATTTATAAATGACATTTATGATCTTGACTTTATTGCTTTTCTTATTTGAATAATTCTATGCGGGCATGAAACACGATAATCAATGTTACTTCTACAAAATTTTCCTTGTTACTTTTTTGTAGTTGGGAAGTAGGAGAAATCTAATTAATGTAATTATAGTTACTTATAGTTTTGTCAAAGTTTATTTGTTTTAACCATTTGTGTCATCAATGACGAATTGACAACTATGCGATCTACAATTGAATAATTTATCATATTTGTTTATTACTCTGTACTCTGTATTAATTTTGAGTTCAACTATTATTTTACCAAATGTTTATTTGAAAACTCTTGCTAACTCAAAACTTGTATCATACGGAGTATATAGTAGCTGAAATTATGGTTGGGAACCAATCTTCGAGTTGCAAATATGTTGTTGATTTTG